CCCCAAAACCCCAAAACCCCAAAACCCCTTGGAAATCCCGATTAATAGAATTATAGTTCTAAACTAATCGCTACAAAGATGGACGCTGAGGAGCAAATTTAGATTATGATATCATCTCTTCAGCATACAGCTGATCTCTGAAGCTGAAGCCAAAAATCTCCTGCTGCCTTGAGAGCGATGATGATATCAAATACAAGTTCCAGGTTGATCTTATTTCCCTAAAAGTGTGAAAGACACCTAATTCTTTGACTTAATCAACAATGTAGGCTAAAATCTTTCTTAGAAACCTATCTCTGAAGAAAAATATGATAGTGAAAGTCCAAAATCTGATCTTAAAAATCTGATAAGAAGAAAAATAAAATATCTTAAAAAGAAAGAAGAAAAAGAAAAGTACTAATTCAAGTGGCAGACTAGAGTGATCATAATAGTAATAGAGACATGGAATCCACCAATAATCAACTAATCAAGAATATATACCATCTGTGCTTCCAATCCAGCAGGCTTAATAATTCCTCAGTTTCTCCAGCACGCATAAATCTGGGCAGATTTATTCTGCGCTGTAGGGTTAGGGCTGGATTATTGGGAGGGAAAGCCTAAGTTATGTGAAGATGAGGGAGGAGGGAGGGTTTGTGTGGGAGTTTTGGGAGTGGAGGTTTTGGGGTTGATTTGGTGGGGATTTGAGGGAATAGGGAGGATTTATGAAGAAAGGAGGCATTTGGGGATTGTAGAGGATGGATTGGTTGGGACTAGGGATTAGAGTCTTTGTGGAGTGTTAAGATGTGCAGTAGTAGCACTTTTTTAATCCCTATGTGGGAATAGTTTTCTTTGAATAATAGGAGCTTGGTAATATAGGGTTTATTTAAGAGACAAAAATTTAAAAGCAGATACTCACGGGAATATGTACATTAGACGTCTAAATAATACAAGAGACCATGTATCATGGAGAAAGGAACTTTTCATCCAAATATTAACATTAACTTCATAACTTAAGATATTGACTGTCAATAAAGTTTTGGGATACTGAAAGTAAATTGTTGGGAATTGATAAGAAAATTTGTGAACTAGAAAGTGGTAAAAGCACTTCATTGCCAGATCTCAATAAAAACTAAAATTTACAGCTTATAAAATAAACATATGACGAAAGGATAAAGGCTGGAGGCTGAGCAGATGCAACTGTTAAGCTATAAGGAGATAAATCTTCTAACTATCATTCTCCTACTATCTTGAGGATACTCATAAAGATAATTAAGAAATTTCCTCTGCTTTGTTTCACCAGAATTGCTACAGAATCCTGGCTAGAGACATCCATGATGTTATGGTGTACTGCTGTCTGAGATATCCTGAAGATTCTTCTTAACGTTCGGAAGACTTCATTGATTTTAATAATCATACTAGAATCATATTCTTACCTAATGGAAGTATCACCATCACTAGTGACTCTGTAAAGGAAAATGAAGGCAATGGAAATTTGCATTTCTTTGATTTTGGAACTTAGGAGATAATCTGCCAGATTAGGTATCTGAAGGAAGTGTAATAAAGACTCAATGGCATTCTAAAATTAACCAGATAATGATAGCCCCTTTTGGGTGCAATGCTCTGATCTACATCGACTCAAAAGTGAAGACCTCTGGCGCTAATTTCCGGATAATCCAAAAGCTAAGGGAGAGAAAAGGTGACGATATGAGTAAGTAAAATGCAGACTTACTCCTCACGCCTTGCCTCAATTTTGCAAAACTTATGTCAGAGAAACGAAGAGGTTACAAAAGAACAAAGGGGTTAAAGTTAAGATAAAAGAAAAGTATGTCCCTGGAACTTCTAGTGCTTACCAACAGTTTGCCATGTAAATAATTTAAAGAACATTCAGAGGAAAAGAGACTAAAAAGAGGCTATTTTAAAGTGTAAGAAGATAGCAGAGAAAGCAGCTGTTCTGATAAGACCAGAGTATGGTGCTTACTAAACCAAAACCAGGGAATAGATATGAGGCTATAGAAGAAGAGGAAAATAAAACATATTTCAATATTTGTCTAAAATGTGGGGTTTTGGGGTTTTGGGGTTTTGGGGTTTTGGGG